CGTTTTGCACTATGTTATTTACTGAGTTTCCGTTCTTCCATTAAAGAAAGCTCAACTTTGTGATGATCCTTAAAAAGACAACCCTTCTTAACAATGTTAGTTAGCTTAAATTAAATAACAATATAATCAAAGAAAACTAGCTGCAAGGTGCAGTCGTAGTCATACCTTTTTCCCACTTAAGAGCAGCGATGCAGCTATATATCACAATGTCAGCGCACTTAACATTGTTTATCCTCGTGTATCTGCGTTGTCTATGTCTATCTCGCTCTTCAACTATATCTCTATCTCTATGTCCTGGCTTGTCTTCCTCCCACGCTGCCATTATGCACACGTCGCGCATAACCATAACGATTATGTTAATGCTTCGTGCGGCGGTGCAAGTGGGGCGTGAGTGGGTTGTATGGTGGCAGGCTGGCTGGGTTGGAAAAACATCACCCAGTCAGCTTGTTCTTGTGCTGGTTACCTGCTCGTCACTCGCCTTGGCTTATTTCTGCTTTATTTACATGCTCTAAGTAGTTGTAATGGGTTCTCCACAGTCGCGACAAAGTGTTGGCAATAAAGCCAGAGCTCGTCCTTGGTTTTTAGCCATAGAGTGGCTATAGAGACCATGAATGACTCTGGCTACTTTTTCCATTTTCTTGCTACGCATGGCTCGTGCGGGGATTTTGATTTGGCTAACGAGAGTGAGTGTGCGAGTGTGTGTGTGTGGATAATGAGAGGCGAAGTGAATTATACCACGCATTCAATGGGCAAAAGGATTTTCTAAGGTCGTGCCCCATAATTCCGAGTGTGCAGAGCCATTTTCATGCGATGAAATGTCATAAAGAGGGCATTACGAAGCACAGACCCGAAAAACTCAATTGCGCATGCAACGGACGCTGGAAAAGCGTAAAACTTTCAATTTGCGTTAATGGCATTAAATAAAGTCACTTGCACGCAGCCACACGAACAGGGGCGAACATTATCTCGAATCGGAGCAGGAACAGGAAACGGAAACCGAAACCGAAACCAAAACCCCTTCCCACCCCTTCATTGGCCAGCCACTTAAAAAAGGTTGCCAAAGCCGCTCAAATGGGCTCGTGTAGGTTGCCATGTTTTCTTTTGCTTCGGAAATCGCATTAAAAATCATTGGCGAGCCATTTGCAAGGTGGCCAAAACACGACACGAGCCCAACCAGAAATAAATAAATAAAAGTCGCCCAAAAAAAAAAAAAAAATAGCATGTGTGGCAGCAACAAGAGTTTCGTTTTCGGCTTAAAGCAGGTGAAATCTGGCCAAAAACAACCGACGAAGGGAAGCCACCACCAATCAGGCAGCAAAATAACATGAAATGTCTGAGCAGAGGTTGGGGAATGTTGTACTTTAGATAAAGTTGCCGCTGTTCCGTGTTTGTTGCTTGATGTTTTTTAGACTTTGTTACAAACATTCGACATGCAATGCACGTAATGCCACAAAAACACATGCACACTCTTAGGCGCACACAGATACTCACTAACAAACACCTGGCAAAAGTTTTTCTTGAGAGACTTTTATCCCACTTTGCTTGTTGTGATATTTTCTTTCTTCAGTTTCTACTCTCGCAGAGAGTGTGATAAGTTTTTCTAAAAACTTTGCCATTTCACCGGATGGTGAAATACGTTTCCGAAATATATATATCTTTTCTTTAATCATCATTAAACTGTTAAATGCGTGCCAGTTTTCCAGAGTTGGAAAATAGCTAAAAGTGTGTTTATGCTAAGACACTAAATAAAGAACAATTTATCTTTGAAACTGATAAATTAAGTTTTCAACCGACAGGCTATATAGTTAAATCTGTAAAGGTATCTGTGGCTGTCGCAATTTTTTGGGAATTTAAGACTATTTTCTTTACAATATAATATATAGTAACAACACATTATTATGATATTTTCCTCGTTAAACTAGAATATATCAGATAGTCCTATATATATCATATGATAATATAATAAACCATATTATTAGCTTGCATGCAACATAATTATTTCCGTAAGCTTTATCAGTTGTATTTTTTTATCAAAAACGTCTAATTTAAAAAAAAAAAGACGAAAGCTTTAACTAAAAATTTGGTAAGAGTATTTTAAATTTGCATTGCAATTCCATGGTTATTTTCACTCAGCCTGATTTCTTGGTCTCTTTTGTTGAGTTTGTAAAATAGAAAAATACCCGACGGGCGAGGAGTAACTGAACCATTTGCCAGGACAAACCTCGGATATTCCCCCGTCACGCATCCGCCCCGTGGGCCAGTGTCAAAGAGTGTGGCTCACATTTTGGGGCAAGGCCGAGCGTTGAACATGATTTGTATTTTACTTACATGCCGTTGAGTAAATCACATGCACAAACACAAACACAGACACTTCAGAGCACTGAAACTTGGGCATTTACCGAACAACAAACAACGAACAACGAACAACAAACAGCTAACAGCTAACGGCAAACAACAAACAACAAACAACAAACGGCAGGCGAAACAAATTCGAATCTCTCCCAGGGAACTTCACTTCGATGTCTGCCCTCGACTCACTGCAGTAATAATAATAAAGGGAATTGTTATTGTTTTCTATTAATTTACTTTTGTTGCTGGCTGTTATTGTTGTTTCCCACAGTTCCTACTGTTCCTACTGTTCCTACTGCCGTACTCGCCATTGCCACGTGTGGGTGTGCTCGGGTGTTCTGTGTGTATCATTTTTGTGCTGTTGTCTGCATTTGATTTGATTTGTTTGGTCTTGATTTTATCTGTTGAAAAATTGCTCAACCACAAGATCTGAGTCTGGGGTCTCTGCTGGAAATTGTCTGTCAGGTCGGCACTGAAGTGAGTAAATTGATATAAATAGATTTGAATTTGGATGTGGAATGTTGTTTGCAACGGAATTGTGCGGAGATTGGAGGGAGAACTCAAGGGAAGTTATGCCACTGTGCAGTAAATTTTATTAAATGTAATATTTAATTATATTAAATACGTTTTCGCTGTTGGAAATTCCAAATTGAAAGAGTGGTCGCGTTTAACTACCAAAAAAAATATTCTTTTGCATAATATTTCTGTTTTTTGTTAAAAGAAAACTATTACAAACTGGAAATAAAATATTTAATTTGAAAAATATTCTTAGAAATTCCAATTGCGGAAAATTCCAATCGTATTCCATTATTTCAATTACAAATTTCGTAAACTGGCTTTCGTAGTTCTACATAAGTGAATATCCATTGCAATAATGCAATGGAAACTATTTAAAATAAAATTTTCAGGCTTTGGGAAAATCCCAACTTCATTGCCAAAGTGCAGCTGCAAGAGATATAAATACTTGGCATAAATTCGTTTTTGCATAGCTCGGGCCCATTTCAATAATAGTAAAAGCAAAATACTCGAGAACGGGCCTGCGGAGAAATTGCAAAATATTTCTCGTAAAATACGCGATTATATAAATATTTAAACTAAAGCAGAGGCATGAAAATGATTTCTTTGTCTGCACTTAGGACCGAGCTATAAATGGGAAATAAAAGCCTTATGCCAACTGAAAGCGTTGTGTTTTTCCGGCCAGAAGTGGGGAAACTCGAAGGAGAAGCACCGTCTTCGAATTGCCCCACCCGAACAGCATCCTTTTCCATCCTTTGCATCGATCCTTGGGCGACTCCCTGACTAAGTGAGTGAGTGAGTGATGAATAAGTCCCAGTGTGTGCGTGGCTGTGAATGCGAATGCGAGTTCGAATGCAAGGATGTAGGCCAAGCCAGCTGTCCTTGGGCCAGAAAAACGGTTTTCAATAGAAAACTCAAACTGGCAACATGTTACAGATTGCTTACTAAGGCTCCAGCTTTGGCACAAGCTCAACAAAACTGAATTGAAAGGTTGAAATGGGCTCACAATGAGGCCGGACATTTTGTGATTTAAAGTTTAATACCTTAAAGGCGTTTTAAATTTGTACATACTTTCCCTAAAATGAGATTAGGTTAAGTTTGCCACCTTATTTGAAACGCAATTCAAAGTTTGCTTATTAAAGCCGATTTAAACCACTCTAAATGTGATAATTCGAGATGAAAGATTTTTTTGCAGCGTAATTTAAAATAATTGCTTAGTAAGTTAATGATTTATTGTTATATTAATAAGGTCATTTTATTATATTAATGTTAAAATTTACATTAATACAATAATTTATTGTGGCGAATAGAAATAGTTTTAAAAACTTTTAGATCTACTGAAAAGCTGCGTTCATAACCTTAACCTCTTCGTTTGTCGGTAGAAATAGTTGATATCGATAACGATTACTAATTAAATACAAACTCGGAGTATAATATAAGCTAAGTTTTTAATGGTTTTCTGTATTCAAATCTTGTCTTCTTCTTCTACTAGAAGAGCCATGTTTTCACAGCTGTTTTGTAACTTCAACGATTTTCTGCTCTGCCAAATTTCCATTCCAAGAGATGTCTGTCAATTGGTATTTGTTGTTCACCGAGTTGGCTTCAATTTGTTGCACGCACTTTCGCCGCCTCTTGGTTGCAAGTTGCTTTTGTTTTCGCAGCAATGTGGGAGTTGAAGAAGGGGCGGGGCCTTCTTTGCAGGACAGGACAGAACAGATATAAGCCAAGTGTCTATCTCGCATCTTGCTGCTGTCATTTCAGGCTAATGTCTTCGCTCCATTTTCCCTTTTCGTGTTCAATGTCTATCGTCATTCCCATTTGGTTTTCCGCTCGTCGTCGTCCTTTTTTCCTTTTTCCAACCAGACATTGCACTGAGTTGTTGTTCGGTTGTTGTTTCTGTTTTCTGCTGACACAGTTGGTAGTTTTCTCCTTTCGTCCTTGATACACATCATTCAAGCCTGCTTAACGTGTCCCATCATATTAACTTGGCCAAGATGCCAGCAAATGTTTTTGTCCGCCTAAGCTTGAATTTATGCTGAAGGAAAAAACTGACTGTCGGGCCGGGTGGATTTAAGAAGACGTTTCCTTGAATTAATTATTTTATTAAGAAGAACTTTCTTGTTTTCTACTTTCAGATCCGCAAAATACTGGGAAAGCTCTTAAAAGGTATGTAAATGAATATGCTTTTGGTTAGTTAAGATTCCCAGAACCTCTGAAAAGGCAACGAAAGATTTGCGCCTGAATTGATAATTAGTTGAAGATAATAACAGGAATATAAGCATTACATTTTTAAACTTGGCATGGCTTCTTCATGCTAAATTTATGGATAGGGAAAAATTAATAAGATAACTTACAAACTTAATTACGAAAGCCATGTACCATGTGTTCAACGGCAAGTGTGTGGTAGATTTTCGGCTTAGCAAAGTGAACAGAAGCCGGGAAATTTTCCAGGAATTGGCCAAAAACCTCGCAGCGGGCTCGAACACCTGACTCCTGGAAAGAGCCCCCAAAGTTAAGCAGCTTATGGCCCAAACTGATCAATAATAAACGAATTTAGTTGGCGGAGCTCCGCCTCATTATGGATGCTCTGGGTGCTGGGGATTTTCACTCGGAAATTTATAATCCACACGGCAAACTGCAATTAAAACGACTTAATTGTTTATTAATGCGCACTTCCCAGCCACGGCGTGAAAAAATAAATTAATTAGTTGCTATTTTAAATATGGCGCAGACAATTTAAAATGCCACGCCAGGAAAAATAAAACTCCCGATTCCACGAAGGGCCAACTTCTTTGATTTATGCTGCCTGCACTTGTTCGAGGGGCTGCATCCGAATTAAAATGGAAAATGGGGGAGCTAATTTAATTGCTCGCTGGATTTTCACACTAAGTCCATGTTTCCTGCAAACATCACAGAAATAGCCCCTTTAGTTGGGGCACATCGCGAACAAGAAGGCGTTACGGTGGCGGGGGCGGCATGTCGTGTGATGATTAATGAGACAATTTTTATGACATCGCACAGTGGGCGAGCGCATGTTATAGTCTGCCGACATAAATATCCGAAATGCGGAGGCATTAAGTGGAAATGGCCAGATATTAAATTGATTACTTTACTACTGCCCCAGAGTAATGGGTGTGTTTTTCGAAAAATTCCAGATATTTATTGAGTCCTTAAAATAGAAAGTTAAGTTTAGCATTGGTTTTTATGTTTGATGAAGTTCTAAAAGAAGCTGAAAGTAATGTATTTGGTTAAGAATATTTCATACCCTTGTAAAATCTCTTTAAATTTTAATTGGCAATACATTCGATAACGATTTTGACGATATTAATGGTCTTTAAATAGATTGAACGCACCATCGATACTATTGCTATACAATAATACTTGCTTGAATCGGTAATTTTTATTTTTGATACTGTTCAATATCGTAAGTCAAAACTATCGATTGTATATGTATTAAAAGGGGTTTTTTAAACAGTCCTAAATACTTAAGAATCGTCAAGAAAAGCATTCATATACGTGTAATCCCCTGCTCAGCTTTGTCTGCAGCCAACTGCACTTCCGAAAATGGGGTAAACAGCCTAGTCAGCAAAGTAATCAATTCGCCTGCCACACAACTGCCAATTCCCGACCACTGTGCATCTCCTACAAAGTCTGATCCAGATCCAAAGGCCACTAAGACTTGTCGCTGGCACATGAATAACATGAATTGCGTTATGAAAAATGTACAACAGCAGTTCGAGGAGATGGATGGATGGATCGCGATGGCATGGGATGGGTTGGGATGGGATGGGATGTGTATTCCATGGGGTGACTGAGACTTGGACTTGGTCTGGGTCTGCTGCCATCATTACAGAGCTGAGCGATAAGCGACGTTGCATGCGGCGACACAAGCGACGATTGCAATATGATGGATATGAACATACTCACATGCGGGCTTGGCGGTAGGGTATGGGTATGTGCGTGTGCGTGTGCCAACGACAGACATGAATGCGAATTGATGTGTCACGTGGGTGCAGTGCTGTTGACTTTGAGGGATTTATATGGAGAGCGCTGACAGCTGGCAAAAATTAGCTGCCAGGCGAAGCTCCTTGCATTGCGAATGCAAATGCGAGAGTGGCCAACTCCTGGCGGCACAATTAGCACAAACTCAAAACTTTTCGACTCCGACAGCAAGTGCTTACCATTATTATTGCTCTGGTTGTTAGCCCAGCCCAGCCAGCCAGCAACCAACTCAAATTCTGAGCCCGAAATCCCAAAATGTCAGTGGCCGGCAGCAGGCAGTGGAGGGCTGTCAAGGGACAGGACGTCAGACAGGAGCAGCTGCTGCCTGCCAGTTCTCCAGTATGCCAGTTTGTCAGTTTGCCAGTTTTCCAGTTTACCAGTTTGCCAGCTTTCAGCCGGGAACAATGCAACAGAGCACTCAGAACACTCAAAACTGCAGCAGCCCTCAACGCTCTCATTATTCAAATGTGTTTTTCGACATGCCAAAAGAATGGTAAAATGAAAACTAGCTAAGCATACTATTGAAATAAAGATAACACCTTCTATAAAGACTAAATTCTAAAAAATGATTTAACAAAATCACTCAGAACCAAATTTAAAATAGCTACATATTTCCAAAATTTTAGGAATCAAAAATTGGCATAATCTGTCCGTTTTCTGGCGTAGTTATCTGTCTCATTTTCTCTTCTCATGAAGAATTATTACATATTTTATTATACACTTAAATGAGCCATTAATTCTTCAGAAGAGCCATTAATTCTTTTTCTTCTCCACCGAATTTGATCTATTTGGTTTCTGTTTTAAAAACTGGGGATTTTTAAACAATTTTTTTTCCATATGTTGCAAGAACTGTTCTTTTTCTTAATTCGCTTATGAAACGTGTAATACGTTATACATTTCATGAATTCTTCAATCAGCATCAATTTCTTTGGCCTTATAGAAATTTGTGTAAGAATTTGGTACAACTAATGCGATAATTTGCTTACAAAAACCTGAAGAGAACCTGAAATAGCAAGGTAAATAAAGTTTTTGGTTAGTAAAGTTTTCCCTTAAATATTCTCAAAAACCATTCAAGTAAGTTTCCAGCTGCACCACCACGACCACAAGGGTTATCTTCTCACTTGTCATGCATTTTCCAGCCAGCTCTCGGAAATTCCCATCCAAGGCCCTCCAACACCCCCTTCCCCCGCCACCAGACTACCTGTTCTATTGCCGTAACAAATCCATTTTACCTGTCAGCTTTAACGCGTAAGCAAATGGCAAAACGGCAGCAGCTGGCTAAGAAAGAGCGCAAAAAGCGCAAAAAACCCAAAGTGGAGAGCTATCTACATACATGAGTGTGTGTGGGTGCAGGTGAGGGTGTGTGTGTGTGAGTGTCGGATGGGTGGCACTGTGGGGCGTTGTGATATATTGCCGAGGCGCAATTAGAGCGCAGACCGCAGAATGAAACGAAACGCTGGCTGCCGTGTAAACAAGCCACAATTGCGCTGGCAACGAAAAAGAAAAACGGATTAATTAAGCCAGACAAAAACGAACAATAAATACACTACCTAAATTAAGAAAACTAATCGGTCTCATAAATATCCTTCAAAAATTAAATTTCTAAAGATTTTTTATGTCAAATTTGGTATTTAAGTTTGGTTAAATTTTAAAGTATGCTATACACGTTTTTATTCCATTAAAAATAAAAATTCAATTTCTCACCATCTCCACAATCTTAATTGATAACCAATGTTTCGATTCTCGTTTGCCTTTAAAGAACATCTTTAACAATAAAAAAAACCATGGTTCCTAATTTATCCAAATGCACAAAAAGTTTTCCATGCCCATCTTAGCAGATGAAAAACGGAAATAAATTTATGCGCAAACAAAATCAAGCACAGCTCCCACACAAGCCCACCGCCATCCACATTTAGACAATCAGACTTTTGTGCTCATGTCCTCCCGTGTGTGTACTACGAGTACACACACCCCATTGCGAATTACGAAAACGAATTGCGAGCAAGTCACAAATGGAATCGCATTAAATCAAATCAAACGAATCGAAATCAAATGAAACAATTCTGGTTCTGGTTCTGACTACACATGGCTCCCTGGGCTGGCTCCGAAATTCCCTATCGAACGCCGTGTAAATCTCAGATGACAGCCGAGCATATTGTGGACTAATTAAACGCATGTGCAGGGGCACCTCCCATATGCGCTAATTAGTCTCGGGGCAGTCACAATGTGACACTGGGTCCGGGGCCCAGATCAAACGGTTGACTGCGGGACTCCTTACTGTGAATCCTCTTTTTTTTGCTCGTCCCTGGCCGGCGTTTTTTTATGCCATGTTTACCCCTCTGCATTCAGGTCGAGCGAAATTAAACGAAAACACAGCATTCGCGAGAGATCAAAGCGAATGCGACAAGTCTTTGGGAATCCCAAAATTTACAAGTTGTCCGTGCTGCGAAATTGAAATTAGTTGCAGCGTTTAGCAAGGGAACGTTTTGGAATAAGAACGCTTAGAGTAGCAATTTTGGCCACCTTCTCCCTTTGGATAGCATTTGAAAAATACAAAATTAGGTAATTTTAAGTTTGCTTAAACTCGGAAGAATATCCATTTGAGGGTGGGCAGCATGTTTGGCTAATAAAATAATAAAAAACCGTAAACAAAAGTCGACCAAATGTAGTCAATAAATTTTCCGTTTTTTACTTTCACGGTATCTGAACTTCAACGAACTCAACATATATTAAGGCTAAATAAAATAACTAAAATATATAAATTTTTCTAACATTAAATCGTGCATATTACTACAATTTCCCAAAAACTTCAATGCTGCGAATGAAAAGATAATTTAGTTTTTGGGCCATAAATCAGCTGTCCACTACCAACCGATAAATGCAGGTTGAATTCGCACCGTGGTTCGAATTGAATTGGAACGACAGCCTCCTAAAGAAGTGATCGTTATGCACACTGTAGCTCTGCGTTCGCCGGTTGGCCGCATTATCGAAGGTCCACTGTCCCAAAAGCTCCCGCTTGGACTTGTCCGCCGTCAGACCCTGGCAAAAAATAGGAGCTGTTACCAAGGATCGTACGACCACATCCATCGCCACTCACGTACACATCGAAGTCCTTGGGGGCACTCTTCACGCAAAGCGAGGGCGTCATTTCGCGAGCCACATGAGTGAGGGCAATGACCTCCACGTCGATGGACTTGGCCAGGTGCAGGGTCACTGTGGCCCGACTGCCACTGAACCCGAAGCAGGATCCCGGAGAAAGGCTCGGGCGCAGCATGTTTACCGGCGGATTGGCGCAGAAATCAAGTCCAAGAAGCGTCCTAATCACATTGCTGCCCCCGATGGGCCTGGCATCCACGTTGATGATCCTGGCACCCAGTTCCTCGCTAGCGTAGTTAATGCGAGCCTTCGCCACCGAGACGGACTCACTTTTTGCACTTTTGGACTGGTCACCACGCGCGGAGCACTCGGCGCTCTTCATCTGCTTCTTCAGGTTGTACACGTCGTCCATCAGATGGCCGATCTTGCGCTTGAACAAGGTGTCAACGTAGGCGTTCACCTCCCGGTTGTCGCACCTGCCCGATCCGAATCCCGTTCCCATTCCCAGTCCCTTTGGCTCTCCACCAGAGATGTGGGCGTCTTTGCTCTCCATCTGCTGCTGGCGAAGCATGTGCTGGATGGGGAGGGGTATTACTCGATCAGAGGAACCTCTTGAGGAGCCAAGTACATAGCCTCACCGATATATCGTCCACATCCTCACGAAGCCGCGATAGTCCAGCGTTGTTCCTGCTGTTGTGCGCCATTAGGTAGTAGAAAAAGGCTGAGAGCAGCACAAATGAAAGAAAATAGGTGACGCACACTCGCTTGCAAGTGCGTTGACGACCGCTGTCCATTTTTAAGGCAGTACAAAAATTGATTTGACAAAAATTATACCGGAGATCCTGTTTTTGAGTACTTATATAGGAAAATTGACACTTGCGCCTATTCAATGTTGAAGTCGGTGTTTGCTTTATGATGCTTTCAAGCTTATCAAGCAAAATCACTTCTCGCGGCGGATTTCTCAATGTTAGGTTAGCTTGAAATCTATAAGGTAAAGTTAAAGTAAACACAAATTAGTTATCTAAACATCAAATCAGCTCAATGTTAAAACTTAACATGATATTGAGAAATCGGCTGATAATGAAACAAAAATGTAGAGACAAGGACTATATTTTCGAATAATAAGTATTAAGTAAAGGGGCATCAAAACATTTACCTTTCTTCAATTAAGAAAATCATCTTTAGCTTGAGCATTAATATCACCGATTTTTAAGCAACACGACATAATATTGTCTAAAAAAAAAACAATGCAAGTTTAATGAAATAGTAGCAATATTTTATAATGCCCTGCTTTATTTTCACCAGATTCATTGCGACACTTGACCACACAGCGGAGTGAGCGATAATGGCGCCAAAGGAATTCAATGAATCAGATTTAATTCCCCAAGAAAATCGCTGCAAAACGAACAATTGTTGGAGAATAATGAGGCGAAATCGCATTAGGTGCGGCAGCATCTGCGAAAGTCTCTAATTGTCAATGGCTAAATAATTGAGGGCCGAGAGCAAAGGAAGCGAACGGAGGGAAAACGAACAGAACGTAATAGCATTAAGGAAAAATCCAAACGAAAATCACTTTAAATGCTAAACAGCTGGTTGCCGGCGGAGGCGATATAAAAACAACATAAAACGCCTTCGGCCCTTTAAGCGTCCATTAAAAATTTAATAACTTTGCCCCGGACCAAATGCAATTTTGTGAAATTTTCTAGCAAAATTAATTAGTCGAACAATCCATCAAGGCCGGACCTTACCATAGCCAGCGCCAGCAAATTATGCTGGCTATCCCGAAGGCTGGTCCGCAAAAAGGTACAAAATCCCGCAGAGAAGGAAGAAGCAACGTGAACGTGACCATCCACAGTTTGGGCCGAGGATATTTCATCCAGACCGTCCTTTGGCCCAGCTCACGTGCGTGGCCTAAGCTGGCAAAATATTGACCAGGCCGACAGATTCGGGCCACGGGGGCGGGGGGCAGACGGCCGAAGCCCAACACTTCAAAGGCCGCAGCGAATGTAATTTTAATCAAAAATTGCTCAGCCCCAAGGAATCCCAATACAGGAATTGAGGTCGCTAATCCTTCTTAAAGGCAAACGGTGGGCTTAACTGAGATGAAATGTTTAAGCACTTCATTTACATATATTTTTAACATTTTTGAGCACAAGCCGAATTGTGTTTTTATTTTATTTATTCGTCGTAATAGAGGGCTGACTTATTATAATATATATATATATATATATATATATATATATATATATATATATATAGATACATGTATAAATATATATGACTTATTATAAATATATATATTTAAATTTCAGTGAATTTGTTTTTTTACATATTCGATTGTAAGCATAGGGATTAATATTTTACTCTAGGTAATAGTAAAACTTATTTAAAGAAAGCTAATTTATAAGTTATAGTTGATATGTTATATAAAATTATATTATTGCATAGCAGAAACTTTTCGGACAGCACTTCGTGCTGGACCATTTTCTTGCTAAATCGACTTTTGAATTGTACAATCACGACCCGAAACAATGTCAATGCAGGCCGAGACAGGGGACAATTCATTTTTAATGCCAGTCGCTCGACAGATCAGCAGCAGAGCCGGACACAAACAAAAACGGCATCGTCGGGGGCAAGTGGCTCTGCTAATTGCACTCATTCACACGGCAAGCGACAACAAAGGCGGTCTGAAGAGGCATTCCCAGCAGCAGCAACAACAGCAACTGTGGCAAGATTGCAAGTTGCAACAACATCGACGGCCAGTCGAGGGGAAAAGCGTCTCCTTGACGCACGGAAACGGAAGCGTTAGTTGCAAGGATATGTTGCACTGGCGCACAATAGTTGGGAATACAGTGGGTCAAAACGGGTATTTAAGTTAGCACGAAGCAGTTTATTTCACGATTACATTGCAAGCATCAAGAAGTTTTACTTTTGGAACTAAAAAGAAAATTATTATGAATATGCATACATACTTTAAAAAAAGAAATTCGAAATTTTAAAAACATGATTTTTTATTAAATATTGATGGTAAATATAAATTTGGCAGTTACAAACCTTGTCTTTTGTTTGCCTACTTGAATTAGTTTAATTCGAAACCAAATTATATCTTAAAATGAAAGCAAAAACTACTAGCTAAAGATCATAATATCAAAACAAAACCTTTTTTTGCCATCTTTTAAAAATATAGTAATTATTATGTCCGAAATTGGTCCTCCTTTCTGCTCCCAAAAGCAGCAATTTGTGCCACTGTGCAGCATGCATGCATGCTGCTACTGTGTGCCCTGCAATTACGTGCCATTGTGGCGCACCATTGTTAGTGTACTTGCAGATGGCAAATAGTCGCATCCCGACTCCCTTCAGAGTCCGGCATTTACGGCGCACAACTCCAGTGTCATTGCCTATTTCCGGCGTAATTGTTATGCCAATTTTTAAGGGCCAGCCAGTGTGTGAAATTAAATGAAAATCAAATAAAGCCGGGGACCCAGAAAAGAAACACATAAATGCGGTCAAATTTGCAGCGTTAAATGTTAACAGTCGATTTTCCAATGCACACAGCAGACACATAAAAATATCAGCGCAGCACAGCTCGTATCTGCGTGCTCCTTTCTTATCTATGGTTGTAGGACTTGTAAAACCCAGAAAAAACCCTTCCCTCGGGAAATCCCCCATCCATCGCCATCCTTTCAGCCTTTTCCGCTGACATTCCTCGTCATCATCATTCCGGCTTAGACTTTTGGGGGGAGTGCAAATTGACAATTTCTGTGAAATTGCACAAATACGAGCCTGTGCTCCAATTTTTTATGGCAAATTACCCAGCCGCATGTGTGGATAGCTAGGGGGCGTTGGGGCGTGGCTTTGGTGGGACCTCGCCGGCAGGAAAATGTCATAAAACCGTTTGGCAGACGCTCGGCTACGACAGGGTTTTTATGATTGGTTTTTAGGCGGCTTTCCCTCCCGAAAATGAGCCAAGAGCGGCAAAGAGGCAAAAAAAAAAAAAGGAAAAAAAAATAAAATATAAACTGCGTTATGTTTATGCGCCAAAAAAAGGAAAAAAAAACGAGGAAAGAAAGCAGAAAAAGCTATCAGGACGTCATCAGCCAGCATATAATTAAACATTACGCAAAGGCAATAAAAAGATGAGACAAAAAGAAGAGGATTTGGTCGCATTTGAATGGTCCTGAAAAGCGGAATATACAGCATATGTATTTACGATAATAGACTGAATGCTGATTAGTGATGGGTTAAAAAGCCTCTCATTTTTTATGGCCCAATAAAATGCACCTTAAAATAATTTGAATATTTTAAATAGGTCTGTTCAATATAACACCCAGCAGCATTTGAAAAAAATGGCAACTGTCGTTATTTCTTTTAGCGAAAACAATCAATATGCAAAACAAATTTATTTCTTTGTGTGCTACAAAATTTTCCTTTGGCAGCTGTTGTTTTCGTGAAAACTTTTTCTTATATTAAAAAGCAATTAAGCTGCATATAAGAGTAAATGCAAGTTATTAAACAACAGGCAAATGGAAGCCAAACTTCGCTACTTTCCTGCTTTTATTAAGCATTGTTTGGAATATTTTTAGTAATAATTTATTCAAAATAAATAATGTCCCCTCCGGTATTTGTTTTCGATAGCCAAAACGCTTCGAAATATTTGCGAAACTTTAAAAGCAATTAAAAAGTTTGTGCAGTGCTATGATTTCCCCTCGCCAGTCACCTTAAGGTCGAGATGAACTTTCCGGGCAGCAGCTGCTGCTGGCCAAGAAACGGCAACCTTAGGGCACATATATAGTGGCCAACGGTATCAACATAATGATAAACATAATATGCCGCTGAGTGCCTGGAAGTATGCTTAATTCTGTGCAACTTTAGTGCCTTTAAGTTGCGGGCGCGGGGCGTGAGAAATGGAAAATCCCCTTAAGTGTGCTTCCATGGCGTCCATGGAAACTCGGAAAACTTTCCTCCTTTTTTCGCCCCCTGCGAAGCCGGTACCCCGTCCTAAGTGCACATGCCACAAACAACCTAAGCTGCTAGGCAAATGTACATCGAAATGCGAACTGGCAGCAGGACGAAAGTGCTCAAAGGAATGCCCCGGCTGAGGCGTTTATTTGCGTTTATAATGTGTGAGCTATTAAAATTTTAGAGGCTGTTAGTGGGGTGTGTTCGTGCGTCTGGCGCTCTTGAATTAAAATTGTTTCAGCAGCAGCATAAAATGAAAATTAGTTGATTTTTTTATGCGCTTCGTGCGGAAAGCGCGAGGCTCTTAAAGCTTTTAGGGCATCAGCAGCTGCTGCTGCTGCTGGGTCCTCAGAAAAAAATATGTATTTTAAGTGTAAATTCTCGCAACGCTTGTTTGGCTTACATTCATATTCATATTTGTATTTGTGTTTGTGTTTGTGTTTGTGCCGGCAAGCGTAAAGTGGAAATTAACATAAAACAGCAACGGCAACGCGGTGAGAATACTTAACGACAAGCCGAAGTTGTGATGCCCTCGAAAAAATACGGCAACTAATTGCACCCAGCAAACAGTTCTTAGATCTTCTTGGGACATAAAACGCTTAAATTATGCAGCAGAATCACCCACTCTGTCCATGGACTTTATATCTCCCGCATCGCTCCTGAATCACCCCCCAATTTCTGCCCGCAGAGCTTAACGAACCCAAAAGTCCCGGCTCTTTTATTTACTTTTATATAAATATTTTTTGGCGTAAGCTATGGCATTTTTTGCACCTCTCGGATTCAGCTGCAGCTTATTTTTGATGCATATTTTATTTTGCCATTGCATGCGTAATTTTATTTGCCGCCACGCCCCCTGCGCCCATCTCTCCACGGTGCTGTTGCTGCGGCTAGTTGCGGCCTGGTAATTTGTAGCGAAGGTATAAGTTTTATGACCATTGCCGCGATTTCGGTTGCTTTTGTCAGTGCTGCTGGTTTGGCTGATTTATAGCTAAATTTAATAAAATGAATTTATAAAAATGTATTATTTTAGCCACTAATAGCAAGTCTGAGATTTTAATAATAATTAAGTTTTAAGTTTTAATAATAGTTAAGTTTTGCATATGCTGTTTCGGAAAAGCATGCTAACTGAATATTTTTATACCCTTGCAGAGGGTATTATAATTTCAGTCAGAAGTTTGCAACGCAGTGAAGGAGACGTTTCCGACCCTATAAAGTATATATATTCTTGATCAGCATCACTAGTAGAGTCGATCTAGCCATGTCCGTCTGTCCGTCCGTCTGTCCGTCTGTCCGTCCGTCTGTCCGTCTGTCCGTCCGTTTATATGCAAACTAGTCTCTCAGTTTTAAAGCTATCTGCATGAAACTTTTCCAAAAGTTGTCTTTCTATTGCAGGTAGTATATAAGTCGGAACGAGCCGGATCGGACGACTATAGCATATAGCTCCCATAGGAACAATCGGAAAAATAATTGAAAAAAAATTATAACTTTGCTGTTTTTTAATTTTTTGTTTAGTTCTTCGACATATAGAAATGGTTAAATAATTCAGAATTATGGTTTAAATTTCATCAAAATCGGACGACTATAGCATATAGCTCCCATAGGAACAATCGGAAAAATAATTGAAAAAAATTATAACTTTGCTGTTTTTTAATTTTTTGTTTTGTTCTTCGACATAAAGCAATGGTTAAATATTTCAGAATTATGGTTAAAATTTCATCAAAATCGGACGACTATAGCATATAGCTCCCATAGGAACAATCGGAAAAATAATTGAAAAAAAATTATAACTTTGCTGTTTTTTAATTTTTTGTTTAGTTCTTCGACATATAGCAATGGTTAAATAATTCAGAATTATGGTTTAAATTTCATCAAAATCGGACGACTATAGCATATAGCTCCCATAGGAACAATCGGAAAAATAATTGAAAAAAATTATAACTTTGCTGTTTTTTAATTTTTTTTTTAGTTCTTCGACATATAGCAATGGTTAAATATTTCAGAATTATGGTTTAAATTTCATCAAAATCGGACGACTATATCATATAGCTCCCATACAACTAATAAAAATATATAAAAGAACAATCAAATAATTAAGCTGCAAATCGTCATAGCTTCAATGTTTTTAAACATATACGCAAGTAAATCATAATTTTAATGTTTTCAAAAATATTTAATTCTTGCGATAGCTGCAAGGTATATGAACTTCGGCTTGCCGAAGTTTGCTTTCTTTCTTGTTTTAAAGTTAATTTGGCACAAAATATTTTATGTTCGACAAAAGAAAATGATTAAAAGTAGTTGTATTCAATAGATTTCTTTTTTCTTGCAGATTCGTGTTAAGACCAGACCCTCTAAATAAAAAGAATCACTTAATTTATTATTTGGCCAATATATTCAATAGGCAATACTACATGAGAATGCCGACTATTCTAGCTAGTTTTTGGTTAGCCGCACTTTGACATCACAGGTTGTGTGTGGCTGGTGCTTGGGCTCCTTTGGCAGGTTGTAAAAAATGTATGCATTGTACAACAAAATGCTGCTTGTTGTCGCCACTGTGGCTGCACCTGGGCGGACTGTTGTCGTCGTCTCGCTGCCAGAATATGCACGGCAATGTGCCAAATTAAGTACTCTGCCTGCCAAAAGGGAGCCGGGAAAACACGAGAAAAACGGATCTCGACGGTACGAGGGCCTGGGCCCTGGGACGTCGCTTTAGTTGTGATGTAAATTTTAATTTCCACATGTTATGACATGTTCGCAGAGCCCCATTGAAGTTTTCCCACGACTGCAAGACCATGTCAGAGTGCCGCTTTAAAGGGAACGCGGAAATTTAAGGAGACTATGTTAAATTCTTTTGATAATGCAATTTGTTGGCCATTTAGAAGAAATCGCCTGAAGTGGTTTGGTGTTTCTGTCTGGTTTCGCGTTGCCAATGGCAACTAGAAAACGCTTGGAAAATTGCCATTTACACAGTTGTTGATTAGTTTTTATATGGGTTTACGCTCATTTAGTGGCCTAGGCGGTAATTGTCTGCGGCTTAAATCGCATTAAGATTGACAAAGAACAATAACACTTAAACAAGGCATATAAATTAAATTATTGATTTTTAAATAACTTATCATTTGCCATGTCCAAACTCTTCGACAAATGTTAAAATGTTAACAAGGAATAGCACTCTACCAAATAAGCATTATATCAGTCAGTTTAAATGCCAAAGCTACCTGAATGAAGCTATAAATACAACCTTTCAAATTACACATTTAATAATCAAGCATACGCCACGTTGTACAGGCCCTTGCAAAAATAACTTGTAAGCTTCGATAAAGTTGTTTCTTGCACACAAATTATTCGCACCGATTGACTGTACAATCAGAGGCATCAATATTTCAAAGGGATTTCACAGCAACCCGATATCGCAATCAATTTCATATGAAATTTTCAGTTGCTCGTGAGTGAAAGGTCAATTTGGTGTAAATGCCTATTGATTTTTTCGATCGAGCCAATGGAATGAAATTGAAATTATTTCCAATGACAGCAGTTTAGCAGACGTGTCAACGTCGGGCCTGCGAGAACATGTGAAATGTGAAAAATAAAATAAATATTTATCTAGCCCGAAAAATTCCGGCAATAGCAATGGCAGGAGTTGCTCAAATCTCTCAAATTGCCCAAGGCTGCTACGCTCATGTCATCTTATTAAATCACACAAGATAGAAAAAGTTTCAGGCCAGTAGTGGTGGTGGCTTGGCAGAGGCTCAACTGCCTCTTGGTCTCGACTGTCAAATCATTTCGTGATAAGGATATAACAAATGTGCACATTCCACTCGCACAAATGCGAGCCAGGATTTTCCATCTCGTGTCCGTGTCCGTGTCTGCTTCATAACTGACAAATGAAAATGTCAAAAAATGTTTGCTGACAAGCCAACCAAATGAGAAAGAATATTTTCCATTTATCTCTTGGCAGAGAGACATTTCCGAAATTTAATTTAAATTCGAATCGGCCTAAACTAACCTCAAAGAGCAGGAAAAATGAACTATTAAATTGTTTAACTAGGCACACATTGGTCTAAAGAAAAATCTAAATATTCGGAATATATTTTTTCAGTTATTTGTATGTGCAGTATATCTTTTAGGTAATATCGCTCCCATTACATTTTCCTAATTAACAGACTGCCATTGTGTGTAAGCCAGAGTCTTAAGCATCCCCACCTGCCCGGTGTGTCATTACAATTCGGGCTTCAGTTTCCTGTTAAGCACCATACATTTGAGGAAAAGCCAAAAGCAGATGCTGCAGCATTAGGCCATAGAAAGTCGCCGGTCATGATTAATGTTCGGTTATTAATAATGTCGTCCTGCCGGTCGAAAAACAGAAAACAGAGAACAGAAGACAGACTTCAGGTGCCTGCCAAATCAAGTCAATTTGCTGGTAGTCGAGTATCCATTACGGATTTGCATTGGCGCCAGACTGTCAACTGCCGACTGCCAACTGAAATTCGAGTCGGTCTGTAATTTTTGGCGTGAGCGAAGTGGCAGCTAATGAAGCGGCGGAATCTTTTCAGATCCGCCTTTGTTTTCGACCAGCTCATCTTGCGTTTCCCCGAACAGGGAGCCCAAATCTGAGGCTTTGTTTTATGTTGTACTTACAATTTCTCGGTGCGCACAATAAACCTGCATTTAAGTTAATTTTCCTGTAATTTATCTGTTATTTAACTAAGGCAGCCAGCCGCCTCGGCCAACGTGCAATATGTTACATGATTTATGTCTGACATTTTCAATTGTTTATTGCTCCTGCTTCGCTTGCTGCTCTGCTTCGGTCTGCCTTTTGTTTTTCACTTAGATTAATTTTGACAAATATAAATGTCAGCCTGGCAGTGCAGAGCAATTTAATGAACTGTCCTCATAAAAATATGAATAATAAGCAAATAATAGCGGGGACACGGTGGAAACATAATGATGCGTCTTAATGGGGCCGGCAAATGATTGGGGGATTATATCAACAAAGCGGACAATCCATTTCCATCCAATTAAAGTCGCACAATGCCCACTCAATTGGTACTTTCGTTGTGTCAATGCTGCGAGTGCGATTTACATTTCAATTCATCCAGCCCGGATATGTATTTACATAACTGCGATATCGATTCGGGCCAAAGAGTGCAATAATTAGCTTGTTGTGGCCCTTGATTCACTTGCGAGCTGAAACTGAACCGATTCAATCCGATTCCGATTTATTATGCAAGAAAACAAACACTTGAATAATTGAGAGGCCTCGTTGAAATGCCAGCGAAAACTATTTAAAATAAATCAGCCAGCTCAGGGACAGAAACTGCCAGAGAGCTTATTATTGGTAATATATTACCTCGACCGCGTTTTATTTATGTGCCAATGTCACACAAATAATGGGCGAAATTATTTTCAATTTATTTGTCTGTTAATCGCACGCGAGGTAAATTTGCTGGACTCTAATCATGGAATACGTAAATGCGTAAGGATTAAGGTTAAAAAGTTTGAATGCTATTATTTTGTTAGTTTTATTGCATTTTATAATGTCGAAATGCCGAAGGTTTGCAACATTTTAATTAATATTTCAGATACATTAAGATAATAAATGATTTATGGAAAAGCGGACATTGGTTTTACAAAATTAGTATCTATGTTTGGTTGGTCATTTAAAATTCCAAATAAAATAATGTTTAATTGAAAATGTTCACTAAAGGCTTGCATTTTCAATTCAAGCGCATTTTGTTTCGAAATGTTATGCAATAAAATTAATTTTTTTCACCCAACTTAATAAAGTTATTACTATTATTATATAAGGCATATTAATTTTAAAGCACTTATAAGAGTATTAAATAATTAAGTACCGCTTTGATATAATATTAAATGGTTTCGGAACCTCTCACTAATCCTTTCTTCGTGACTTTTTTAATTTTCTTGCAGAAGGCGGCATTTAACGACACACAAAACAACTTCGACAAGAACTCGCGGCAAATGCATTACATTATAATTTCATTAAGGACAAAAGGCTTGCTCTGAAACAACGTAGCAGGGAGATAAAGCAGGCAGAAAGGAGAGCGGAGAAAGGAGAAAAGAGAACGGAGAAAGTGAGAAAGCCGCAAGAGGCGACAATAGCCTCCAAGCCCATTGGCATTGCCTACTTGTGGGCGCTGTCAAGCGATAATCAAGAGCCAGGCATTTTTATGAAATTAATACAAAAGCGGCGGCTGAAGGAGTAGAAGTGGAAGCGGAAGTGGCAGCGGCAGCGGCAGCGGAAGTGGCAATGGCAGCCATGACAAAAGCACCGGCGACAGGACAATGATGGGCGGCCCTCTGACAGCGATTAAAGTGGAAAAGGCGCTGCTTTTATGGCCCGACACAGCGTCGAGTAGACGTGACCGCGTCCGATCGGCTAATAATATTTGCCCGCTCCACAAACTGCGCTGCATAAACTGACATGCAGATGCCAACGTGAGCCAGCTGTCGATAATCATTACTTGAGCGTTAGAGCTAAGAGAGAAAGCAAGAGATACAGAGAAGTTCCCAAAACACTAAAAGGCAGTGGCACAATGAGGTGTCTGCAGTTTCTGGTACCCCTTTTGGCCGTTTTGGCCCTCAGTCGAGCCTGTCCGCCCGAGGTGTGCGTGTGCAAGTGGAAGGGCGGCAAGCAGACGGTTGAGTGCGGCGGCCAGCAGCTGGCCAACCTGCCCGAGGGCATGGATCCGGGCACCCAGGTGCTCAACTTCAGCGGCAACGCGCTGCAGGTGCTGCAGTCGGAGCGCTTCCTGCGCATGGATCTGCTCAACCTGCAGAAGATCTATCTGTCGCGCAACCAGCTGATCCGCATCCACGAGAAGGCCTTCCGTGGGCTGACGAACCTGGTGGAGCTGGACCTCAGCGAGAATGCGCTGCAGCATGTGCCCAGCGAGACGTTCCAGGACTACAGCTCCCTGATGCGCCTCTCGCTGAGCGGCAATCCCATCCGCGAGCTGAAGACGTCCGCCTTTCGCCATTTGGCCTTCCTCACCACCCTCGAGCTGTCCAACTGCCAGGTTGAGCGCATCGAGAACGAGGCCTTCGTGGGCATGGACAATCTGGAGTGGCTGCGGCTGGACGGCAATCGAATCGGTTTCATCCAGGGACCGCACATCCTGCCCAAATCGCTGCACGGCATCAGTCTGCACAGCAACCGTTGGACCTGCGACTGCCGCCTGCTCGACATCCACGCCTGGCTGGTCAACTACAACACGCCGCTGGCGGAGGAGCCCAAGTGCATGGAACCGGCGCGACTCAAAGGCCAGGTGATCAAGGGCCTGCAACGCGAGCAGCTGGCCTGCCTGCCCGAGGTGAGTCCGCAGTCCAGCTACACGGAGGTGAGCGAGGGGCGCAACATGTCCATCACGTGCCTGGTGCGGGCCATACCGGAGCCCAAGGTGCTCTGGCTGTTCAACGGCCAGGTGATGAGCAACGATAGTTTGGTGGACAACCTGCACATGTACTACTACATCGACGAGACCATCGGCGGCAGTGGCGCCGAGGAGAAACGCAGCGAGATCTTCATCTACAATGTGGGCGCCGAGGACAATGGCACCTTCTCGTGCGTGGGCCAAAACATAGCGGGCACCACCTTCAGCAACTACACCCTGCGGGTGATCGTCAAGGAGCCGCCGGTGGTCAATGAGGTCTCTTTTCCCAGGGACTACATGAACTACATTGTGGCCAGCAGTGCCGGCGGCGGCATCATCTTTGTGGTGCTGCTCTGCACCATTGTCGTGAAGTGTAAGCGCGTCTCGGAGCCGGCCAAGCAGCGGAAGAAGTGCGACCAGGTGACGAGCATAGCCGGCGGCACGGACTCCTCCGCCGGCAGTGGTCAGGACACGGGCATGGGCATGATGAAGTGCGCCTCCATTCTGAACGATGGCGGTGATAGTTTGAGCGGCAATGCCGGACTTCTCATGGGCGATACACTGACGCCCACCAAGGCGGTGAATGGAGCAGCTGGCGGAGGTGGTGGCATTATCCTGGGGAACCAGATGAAGCAGAACCTGCTGCTCTACACCACGCCCAATCCCGCCCAGCAGCAGCAGCAACAGCTTCAGCTAAATGTGAACCTGATGGGACCTGGACCGGGCTCACCGCCGCTGCTCCTCAGCAATGGGCATGGCCTGGCGGCGGCCTACTGCTCGCCACCCGCCTCCCTGCGCAACTACCAGGAGAAGAATCCCGACTTGGTCAACGATGCGGAGAGCGTGAAGCACAAGCTCAAGACGGCGGTGAGTTTGGACGGAGCCGGGGAGTACGAGACGCAGAGCGATTGTGGCCAGTACGAGGGCTGCTACCAGCTGGCCACCGCTCCACATCCTCACCAGGGTCATCAGGGTCACCAGCATCCTCATCCGGTCCACCCACTGATGGGTCGATTTGCCCAGGCCATGACCACATTGCCGCGCGGCATGCAACTGAAGCCAGCCCCCCACCAGGTGGACGTGCATCTGAACCCAGTCTGCTTCCTGGGTCAGGATGGATCCTTTGCCTACGACTACAGCAGTGCCCATCTGGTGCAGCAGCCACCGCAGCAGCAGCAGCAGCAGGTGCAGCCCGCCAGCAACTTTTATCGCACGCTGCCACACAACAGGTTGCACAAGCAGCAGCAATTCCAGGCGGCGGCAGCGGCAGGCCAACACGTGGGTGGCGGCAATCCCACCCTGCGCTACAGCCTTGAGGCCGAGTTCATCCAGAGGGGTCCCACGGTGAGCTACGAGAAGTACCAGCTGCCCAATGTCCGCTTCACGGCGGAGGGCTATCCACAGCAGCAACAGCAACAGCAGCAACAGCAGCAGCAGCAGCAACAGTTGCAGCTGCAGCAGCAACATCAGTTCCCCTCGCCGCCAGAGGGCTACAAGAGCGATCTGACGGTGATGCCGGCGCCGTTTCAACAGTGGCCCAGTTGCCTGCCCGGCTACCGCTTTGCCCAGTCGCCCACCAGTCAGCCGGCGGTGGCCACGCCCCCGCCACCGCCAATAGTGGCCCCACCGCCAGCTGCCAACGGCAGCAGCAGCACATCAACCATCCCAGAGCTGGACGAAAGCGAGGCGAGTTCGCCGCGCGTCGAGGAGGCAGCCTGCTCGACAACAACGCCACCTGGCGGCGGTGAGGAGAACAACCCGGACAGCGGGAAGCTCAAGCAGCTGAATGGCCCGCTGGCCGACAGTCCCGACGAGGGCTACGTGGGCGACGGCCAGGAGACCAGCGACATCTGACCCAGCCAGCAGTCGAGCAGCCAGGACGAAGCGGCCTTAGACGATTCAGTGGCCCTGTAAACGGCCAGGCTGATCAGCACAAATCACTCATAGCCTAGGTTCACTCTTCACATGCTTCCGTCCCCTGATTTCGCACACTGTTCCCCTTCCCCCACCCCCTCCCTTCTGTTGGCCTGCCCGCAAAGAAACCAGCAAGCAAACAAAAGACAGACCCAAGTTTAACCCAATAATTGGCAGGAGAGAGCTCGAGTTGCGAGTTGCGAAAGGAAGAAGGCCCAGAAAACCAAATAAAAGGCGCAGGGCAACTTTGCACACAACCGAATGGGAAATACCACAGTTGAGACTTTTGTTTTTTTTTTTTATGAATTTGTATACGTATTTCCGATAGCCTCTGTTATTATAAACACTTGTAATTTTGATAGTTACAAATTTAATTCTATGTTTATACAAATTGAGGCTTTTTTCAGAAGATTGCAAGCACCACTTCGCCACTTTTCCGCAGGACTCCTTGCGTTTAGGGTATTTGGCAGCACAATAGACGGGGGGGACCTAACCTAATAAAGCCGAAAAACAAAGACGCCGCTAAACAAAAGCCTCTTGTCGTTGTTTGTTTCTGTTTGCTGCGTGCTTCGAGTGGCAAGCTGGCAGCATTTTATTTCCGCAGATGTAATTGAAAAACTTTTTCATTTAATATAAAGTTTTCAGCAGCTTCCCCGCAGCACAATGGCCCAGAGAGAAAGAAAGAAAGAAAGAAGAAAGCGAATGGCGCTGGTGGGGGAGGGGGAGCGGGGGTGGTTAGGCTTGAAGAAATCCCAGGCCTACGACTAGACATGTGTGGGTCCCAGTGTTTCTGCCGATTGAGTTGTCGTGCTCTCGCCGGCGTTGTTAGTTGACAATCGACGGGGAAGGGGGAGGGACCACCGCCCACCCCTTTTGGAACCACTTCACAGGGTTCCAAACCGGTGGCTCACTTCAGAGCCAAGTGGCATGTGTTTTCGCCATGGCGACACCTGCTCCACGCGACACAAAGGACTCGGGAGTCCGGACTCCAAACTCAAGGACCTTTCACAGCAAAGGACCAAGTCGAGAATTCCGGCCGAAAATCGCGAGTGGCATTAAGGGCTTCCCCTTTGTAGTGTGCTCTAGTTTATGAAATTTTAATTCGGGCCACATCCGCTCCAGTGTTGTATTTGAATAATTTATTGCCTTTAAGCAATCCTTTTTCGCCCATTTGATTCTCCCGCCTTAAGTTTGTTGTATCGAATCGAACAGACGACATGAACACAAGTGTTTCCGGGTAACATTAAAGTAGATATCGTAAATTAGAGCGGCTAGCATTGTAAGAAACTAACTAAATATAGGCTAAACCCAACCGTTTGAGACTTGTATGTAAATGTAGCTATAGAAATCGTTAAAACGGAGCCCAAGCTTTCCCTTTTAACGTGAATGTTCTGTAAGGTGTTCAAGACTTTGTAACATAAATTGAAATGAAATCGAGAGCAGATGAGTTTGCAAAATGCTTGCAAAGTGTTTTGAAGAATGTAAAAAACAAAAAACAAACAATGAGCAATGGGAAAAATGCATGTGAGGAAGAGAGGGCAGAAGCAATCATTTAAGCACAGTATGGAATATTGTAAATTGCATAAATAAATCATTAGACGTAAGAACAAAGCAAACACTAACACCTGCAGACACACTCACACACCCTAACACACTCGTACTCAGAATGATTTGTGTATGAAGCAAACGATTAAGTTTTATGTTCACCAAGTGAGTTAGTTGGCAAGATGCACATAAAGGAATATAGCAGCAGAAACTAAATTAACAAAGCAAAAATACCACTCAAAACAATTTTAGCCTAGCAAACTGTTTAAATCTCAGCGCAAAAACACAGACACACTCAACGGTATATTAAACAAAAGAACTGCCTGCTGGCAAATTAATTTTAAATATTATATGGCATACACTACAATATAAAGAGAATGTTTAGCATTAAGTTAATGGTTAGGCCAGGCAGAACATATACGCATAAACCGAATATAAAGGGCCATAAACGGTCGCAGAACATTTAACGGATGTCAGAGTTGGATGATGTCGGATGAAGAACAATGGGAGGACACACAATCTAGTTATAAATTAGTTTTCTAAGTTAAATTAAAATTAAAATGCATAAAGATAATAACAACAAACGCAAAGTGTAAAAAGTATAAGAGAGAAATTAAACCGAATAAAACGCATTAAACTGAAGAATTTAATAAAAACTAAATTATGCCGCTTTTTATTTAAGCCTTCCAATGCCAACAAAGGGACGCAAACAATTCCAGCGATTGAATATTAAATGGAATGAGCTGAAGCTAGAGCCTTTTCTATTTTCCCAGCTGGGTAATGCCAGAAAAACGACGAATGGCGAGGGAAATGCAAATGCGCCACTAAGTAGGCAACGCAAAAAACTCAGGACTAGAAGTGTTGGTAGATTGAAAGAAAATTAAGTGAAAGATGAACAGCGTTGCGTACAAAATGGAGTGGGCAAAAGTGCAGATAAATACCTTCCCGTTGATTAAAATTATCACGGTTCATTCGAAAAGCGGAACAGAATAATAGAAAGACTGCCTGAAAATCAAATTCACCTTATTTCATCCAATTTGAAATTCTTAGAGCATATTTAAGCGTATAAATATTTAATAAATTCAGCAAGGTAAAATGTAATTATCGTAAGTCAAAGCATCATCGAGATTTGAGCAAAATCTCACCGAAAGCCAAACGCTTTTCGCATATGTAATGACAGCTGCTTGAACACATTTTTAGCCGAGCAACAAAGCCGGTTGCATCACAAGGTTGTTCGCAGGTCTCAAGATGCGCACATCACGCATACGCAGTGTCTGCCCCAAATGAGCACATCAAAGCGCGGCAAGGTCACAGCCCCCGTTAAAAGCGAACCAAAAACCCGGACTGCAACCCGAGCACCGACGCATTATTCGTTTCAGTGCGCAATAATGTCATTAAAAGGCGCAACCGGAGAACGCCGAAAGGGAAGCACAACTGGGTCAGTTAATGCATCCAGTTGTTACCTCGACCTGACATTTATGAGCAGCTGCAGAAGGCTGTAGATAGCTGGCCCCCCAAGCGAAAGACACTTTCCAGTGCCGAGCAATTAAGAGCAGGGTTTAAACCAGCTCCGCACCAGCAGCAGCTCCACATGAGTGTCGAAATTTATTGGAAATGCCTTAAGCTCGCACACCCCAGGCGACGTCTAAAGCTGGCAAAAATATGGCTTCGAAAGTGGAAGGGGCTTGGTCTTAAGCAGCCACATCGTTGACAGCAACTGAGAGAGAAAAAGCAAAGCCAAGCTGGAATTGTGGCAACGGCATCAAAATCAAAGACAAGCACCCGGCACCGACCAAAAACCAAAGTCAGAGGCGCGCATAATTAATGTAGGCATAAAAACAAGTGACTTGTAAATATTGCCAAGGCAATGCACAGGACCCACACACCAGTTCACCCAGTTCAACCAGTACACCCAGCTCAGCCATATCTCCCAAATGCCTGGTATCTTTGGGATACGCATATGGTTGTGGGTGTGCGTTCACTGTGGCTACTTACAAAGTGGCAAGTACGAGCAAGGACTGCGTGGCTGAGGTTTTCAGTCACCGCACAGTGGCACCAAGTTCATTCTAAGACTATACGATTATTCCAACAAATTAGTTGAGTTCCAAATAATTAATATTATGTATTATTAATTTAAAAACAAATGATATCTTTATTTATTCAAAATAATCATATATTTAATGCACTGGTCGCGAAAACAATTCAAATATTAAATATTACATTGTTAAATGTATTACTCTGCATAATTATACTTATCTTAACCTGTTTATTCATTAAATAATAATATTTCGTTTAATTTAAATTTACTTTTATATCATTATATTTTGTTATTATTTTGGTGTCTATGTATTTCTATTCTGTAGGTGTTCGAAAAATTTCATTTTTAAATGCGAAGCGATTACAATATATTTAAATTCATTTGGAAATTGGTCCCCTAGAGTTAAAATAAAATCGTAAAAATAAGTAACTTAAAATTAATGTGAAATCCGACATTACTTTTCTTAAAATGATTATAAGGGGGTATTAACGTAGCTAGAAATGTCCCCACTCTTGGGATATTTTCGCCATAAATACGAGCTTCCAGCCCACAGTGCATAGTCTAAGTTTCACTTTGGTGGAATGGCGCCCGAGTGGGCAAGACGCAGAGCCACTTAAAAGCGCACACAAAGCCAGCTTCATATCAGCCGCATAGGAAGTGTGTGTGTGTGGGTGTGCGGGTGAGTGTCCTGGTTGTTTATGAGTGCGAGAGATGGCCAAAACACCCCCTCCTCCCTCTGACTGCTTGGCCGCGTTTATATGGTCTAGTGATTGTGACATTGTAGCTACAATTACAAGCGGAAGTGACGCACATCAACGCACAAATATGGAGGCGTCTATCTTTGCTTTATGTTCGGTTAATGCCCCACTAAAGCTGCGCACAAATTGGGCTTATCGTATGGTTATTCCAGTTCTATTTTATGCCCCAACTCGACCCAACTGCCTCGCAGCCTCACTGCCCCCCAAACATTGTGTGAAAAATGTTGAGTCAAAGTTTGTGGCATTAGGGCGAGACATCCGCATGCTTGATATCTACATAAGTTGGCTAGTTTGTCTTATAAAGTTATTAACCAAAATTAATGTTTGTTATAAAATTTCCTATGTGGTTCGGAACTGCTTGTGCATAAAATAAACGATTCAGGCAGTCGATACAAGTACGTTTCCTTGTCAGTGTGGCTTGTGACCACAAGAAAGGCAATCAGAGTCCTGCATAAGTAAGGCATCTCAAAATGGCAGGTGATTCATGGAGGACTTTGTTGGTCATTAGGTTGAAAGAGATTAGGCGTTGAGCTGGCCTAATATGCCAATTAAATATTGATGTATATAAATCAAAGACTTTGAACTAAAACTAGCAGTGCTCAAAACTTTGCGTATAAATTCTCTGCATTTTCAGGCAGAGTTTCTCTGCCCCCGAGAAACTTCGCAAATTTCAAATCCCTGGTATCAAATGTGCCGTCGCTTAAAACTTAGTTCATTTATACGGCTCGTTTCGGGTTGGGCCATAAAAAGAACGGAACCCGGTCTTTTGTCACACGTTCCTCGTAGATCTGGAATTAAATATTCACATTCACGCATGCATACACATTAGTTTGCATAACTAATAATGTCGAGCCAACGAAAAATGTACAAAAACTTTCGTTGTCCCGGGTCAAAGTGGACTCTGGAAATATGTCAGACTGCAAAACTCGGCTGACAAACAATGGACAGGACCGAAACGTGCCTGGCCACGAATCGAGCAGCTGCGGAGATGTCTCCAAATTAATTCAAACTCATAAAATATTGACTATAAACAGACTTGGCCAGCTGGCAGCTGGAAGAGATGGCCCGAAGATGATGTGGGACGGTCATTCATCTTGGCAAGCCCTACACGTATTCTCAGGCCGGATCCGCTTGGTATTTGTCTAGTTGTCAATTTTTAATGTGGCTGCTTGACAAATCAATTTTGCTAGACTGCAACAAATGAAACGAACAAAGGACTTCTTGCGAAACTTTCTATTTGCCAGATCCGGCACACAAAGAGCAATGTCAACGTCTTTAGGATAATTTGATTCGGATCTCTCGGCCCTCTCACTATTTTGCCAAATTGATGGAATTTTAAATTTGTTTTGCCAGGCAACGTCCATTGACTGGCAATTAGAATAATTTGGCCAGCTGTTGCTACAACTCTGCTCCTTGGTAGCGATTACACCAGAACATTTGCCAAATCATTTTAATAGTCACACTTTCGACTGACTCGACAAGTAAATAAAAGAGGATTAAATAGTGTGAACTGTTGGATACGAATAATGGATACCTTTAATGAAATAAAGTCAGGTAACATTGTTGGTTTATCTCAATTAAGTTTTTATATGTTCAACTCCTATTTGGTATTCATTGTAATAAAAACAATTTAACGGAATTTACTTAAGGTATATTGCTCTTTTGATTTTGGTCGGCATAAATTGAATGAACTAAATTTTGCCAATGCATTTTAGGTCCAACACTTCCTTCCAGCAAAGTATGCAATATTTTATGCTTATCTTTCGCCAAATAACTACCCAATATTTTCTCTAAACACACACCAACCCTGCCCAATGCCCTCGAACCCTTTGGCAGGGATATTTCGAAAATTCTCTAAACACAAATCACCAAATAACCAAACAGGTTTTCTGGTCACATAGATACACTGGCCCACAGAAGTGGCAACGCACACACGCTCACACTCTCACCATTTCTCAATGCGTATTAAGTGTAATTAACTTGGCCAGAACTTTGGCTGGATCTGGACCTAAGATGGCCCTAAGACCTGTCTGTTTGCCTGCCCTAAGCTTTGTTTGTTTATTTCCAGCCTTTGTTGTATAATTTAAATGGATTTTGTCGCTATTTTAAAGATAACAATTGCAGCCCTACTAATATCTTGGCCATAATAAGTCTAAGCTGGCCATGTGGTTGGTTGCCTTGCTTCCGTTCTTTTTTCGAGTAGGCGAGTTGGGGCTGTAATTTATACAACTTCCGACTGACCCAGTTCTTAACGAAAAGCGCTAAAACGATTTACGGTCTTTGGCTGGCCGAAAGGAGTTTAAGCCATGGTTTAACAATTACCTAACACTTGCAATTGAATCTTAATCGCTCTCAGTGGTAAACTAAATATTGTATTTTAAGGTAAAAACACGGCTTCCAAATGCTGTCCCTGATGATCTTACAAGTCTGCCACCTTTGGCGCCCGCATTGACAATTCACAAAAGCTCAACGCTTTGCTGCAGCGAAAAATCAATTTATATGTTAATTTGTAAGCAAAATCCACAACGCCAGGGGAAAGTGTGTAAAAGCTTTTGGCCTCCAGCTTCACCCACTTTTAGGAGCTTCTCCCTTTGCGTTGGCAAACAAAAATATTCACTCACGCAACACCAAAAAAAAAAAAAAAAATAAATATAACAAGAAAAAAACCGAAAAGTTCAACAAAGTGTTGTAGGTGACAAAACTGACATTTGCCGAGCCAATCTCTGTGTATGTTGGTGCCAGGATGTGTTGGTGTGGTAAGGGGTTTATAAAGGGAGGAAGGGTCACAAGTTTTAGCAGGCAGATGTAAGCCATCAGTTGGCAGAACAACATGACAGCCCTGAAAGGGAGCACTTTGGGCCAGAA